CGGGCTGGGGGGCTGAGCTGGCCTCTGGGTCTGGTGGCAGGGCTGGTCACAGCTGCCTGGACTCCTCCCTCCAGCCGCACACCCTCGCCCGGAGACAAGCCGCTGGGTCTGGGACTCGAGTTTCCTCCAGGACAGAGCGCCCTTCTCTGGCCCACCACGGGCTTACTCGGCAGGTGATGACCGAGCCAGCGGCCCTGCGTGCAGGCCCCATGCAGGCGCTGGGGTGCAGCAGTGTACCTCTGACTCATCACGGCCCCGGGGGAGTCTTCTCACCAGTGTCTCCTCTGCCTTTCTCCTCCCAGGGACCTGAGTGAGAACGCCATCCAGGCCATCCCCAGGAAAGCGTTCCGCGGAGCTACAGACCTGAAGAACCTGTGAGCACCGGCCGGGAGGGAGCCGGGGTGGGCTCCAGACTGCCCCTGCTAGTGTCCCTGTGGGGCTCCTGAGCAGCCTAAGAGCTGGCCTGAGCTCCGAGAGGGCTGGTGCCAGCCGTGGCCTTCTGGAACCTTCTGGGGCTGAGGAGCCGGCAGCACCTGTCCCCGCCCCCCTCCACCCCCAGGATTCTGTGGAGACAAGCCACCATGAGGGCACCCTGGGGACTGGGGGTGTCTCAGTCCGTCTAAATGGCACAGTCTCTGCCCCCTGCCCCCAGGGCCCTCCTTGTCTTTGGGCTGGGAGAACGCGGTTTGGATTTTCTCTTCCAGTTCCACATCAGTTAGTTCACTTCACTGAGCTTTGGCCTGCTGCTCTGGAAAGTAGGGGTGATGATACGAATCTTGCAGGCTCGTTCTGAGGTTAATGTGGAAATACATCCGGTCCAGGCCTGCTGGCCTCAGGTCTGACCGTCTCAGCCAAGATGCCACGTGCCCAGCTCACTTTGTGCACGCCGCCTCCCCCCATGCCTGGGCAGACATAAGTAATCGATCAGCACATTCTCTCCACAGAGCTCAGATCACAGCTTCACGGACCCTGGCAGCGGCGCTCCCACCAGCTGCTAGCCAACCTCACTGGGCACTCAGGCTGCCACACAGCGCTGGCACCCTCTAGGTGGTCTCCAGGACGTGAGAGGGGCTGGCCTGCTCCCCAGGGATGTGCCAGGCCGGGTGGAGGAACATAACTTTTATTCATATTTAGGTTTTAACTGGATATAGGAAAATCTGCAGCTTTTTGTATTTATGGTTTGGACCGATGCATGGTCATATTAGATGATCAGACAACACTTCTTTCTTTTATTATTTATTTATTTTGAAGAGGTTTTTGCTCTAGACTTTCGCACGTGCGCTTGGCAGACAGAGAGACAGAAAGTGAGAAATCACCTGGCCGGGAGGAGGGGGTGTGGCCACTCTGGAATCCCCTCTCCTCCATTCTCTCAGGGTTTTGGACACGCACACACACACACACACACACCTGGCATGAGTTTCAAGCCACTGGGTCTGGGACTCGAACCACAGTCAGCTGCGTGCGGGTCCAGCCCCTTCTCCCTGCGCCACATGCTGGCTCCACACCTCTTCCTTTTAAGCTGGTGCAGCGCCTGCCCAGACGCTCGCCGCCCTCTCACAGTCTCCCTTTGCTTCACAGACAGCTGGACAAGAACCACATCAGCTGCATCGAGGAAGGGGCCTTCCGGGCCCTGCGGGGGCTGGAGGTGCTGTGAGTACCCGGACAGGGAGGCGCGTGAGGAGGGCCCAGGAACCGCAGTCCAGAGCTCTAGAGCAGGAGGCTGGCGGCCCTGCCCAGGCAGAGGGCAGTACCAGGGCTCCTGCGCCCTTAGAGTCTCCTCGTGGTGGGAGGACTTGGGGGGCCGGTGCCCCAGGCTCAGCCTGCTCGGGCGAATGAAGGCCAGGGCAGTGGCTGTGTCCTCCGGGACTTCCTGAGGCTGGAAGCCTCCCTTTTTCCCTGGCTGACCCCAGCCTCTTTTCCAAGCCAGCCCATGCCCAGGCCCACCCTCTCTGTCCCTGCCCCAGCTCCCTATCCCTCTTTGAGTCCGTGGACTCTGAACAGGGCTTTCCGGGGTGGCCCGAGCCTGCGGGCCCCGGGACAGCGTGAGGTGCTCCCCTTTGCTAGCAGAGAGGCCCCGCCCGCGTCCTTCCCTGCCGGTGGACGCTAAGGGCCTCTTCCCCTCAGGACACTCAACAACAACAACATCTCGGCCATCCCGGTGTCCAGCTTCAACCACATGCCCAAGCTCCGGACCTTGTGAGTCAGCGGGGGGCAGGGGAAGCCGGTGGGCAGCGGGGCAGGGAGGCAAAGGCTCCGAGGGCCACCCCTAGAAGGCTGGGGGGCTCGTGGAGCTGGAAGGAAAGGAAGGTGGTCTTAACTTGCAGAGCATCCAATGTCATTTACGTTGAGTTTCCCTTGGGAAGCGAAGGATCTGTTTTGTTTGGAAATGAGTTGGTTGATTTGGGGCCATGAATGTGGGTGACACAGGCACACCCCAGCCGCAGCACGCCCCTGTGCAGGCGTCCCTAGAGCTTGCTGGGACGGAGGGGAGCTGTGACAGACCCCAGGGCTCTGGGCAAAGGATACAGATTCCCACCGTCTCGTGGCTGGGGCCCAGCTAGGTCGTGAGCCGCCCTGTCCTCCTGCAGCCGCCTGCACTCCCCTCCATCGGCCTCTTCGCCCAGTGCTCGGGCCCCGCCGCCCTGAGGGGGCTCAACGTGGCTGAGGTCCAGAAGAGTGAGTTCAGCTGCTCAGGTGGGTGCAGCCCAGCTCGGGTCTGGACTGCCTGCCGCCCCTTCTGCACGCCTCCCCCAGCCTCGCCTCTCACTGCTCCCTGGAACCGCCACCAGCACCTCCAGCCCCACCTCTCAGCGATGGCCTCTTCCACTCCTCTCCCCTCCATCCTGCCCTTTCCGTTTTCTGCTTCCATCCAGGCCGTCCCGTTCCCTCCTGCTGCTCTCCCCGCTCTCCCTGCCCCTTTCCACTTGCTCCTCTCTCCCATTGCCTCACCCCTGCTCACTGGGCTAGCCTTGCTTGCAGGCCAGCAGCCCCAGAGCTCGCGCCCCGTTGTCCGCCAGCCTCCTGGCCACTGCCTCCCTGGCTTTCCCACGTCTGTACCCACTGTCAGGGTGGGCACTGTGCCCCATCACCTGGCCCTGGGTGCTCCTGCCAGGCCCTGACTGACGCACGCTCTGATCAGCCGGCCTTCTTGGCGACCTCCTCATTCGCTGTGCCCCGGCCACGCTGCCTCTGCCCTCCCTGGGGCGTGTGCCGCTTGGGCTGTTCCTGGGCTCGCCCCTCTCCTGTGACCTCCGACCCCTCCTCAGCCTGCAGAGCCCAGGGAGCCTTCTCAGACCCCAGCTGAGGCTGGCTGTCAGCTCCGGGAGCAGGAGCCATTGCGTCCTGTGTCCTGTCTGTGACGCCAGCGCTTGGTCCGTGTGGGCACGTCCCCATGGTCTGCGTGTGGGTGGACAGGTCTCGGGTTCATGGCGGAGACTCCGGGATTGGCTGTTTCTCCCAAACCCACAGACTCCGAGCCAACCAGCCACGGGGAGCCCGAAGGGAGCGTCTGCCAGGCTCAGCCTCCTCGCCTCCGTGCAAGGCTTGGAGTTGTGGCTGTCACCCCCCCCCAGCGCTGGCAGACACTTGAGGCTGGGCTCCAACAGCGGTGTGCCAGGCTGCCGTGTGTGCACGTGAGAGTGCCCCGCGTTGGGGTGGCGGTGCCCGCGGCAGCTGTGCACTGTGTGAGCCCGCGTTTATAAAGCGTGCGTGCTCTTCTACCAGGCCCTGGGCTCAAGCCTGGGCTCACCCCATTAACCCAACTGTGTGCTTTCTATGAGTTAATACTGAGGACTCCGTTTCTCACCTGTAAAATGGCCACAGTGAGACACTGCCGCAGGGTCATGCTGTGGGGACTAAGTGAGGCTCCGCACGTACCGCGCAGGGTGAGCACACAGTAGGACAGCAGGCACCCTCGGGCTGAGTATGAAGTGGCTGCACTAGGACCCCACCAGGACTTCCTAGCGTGTGGCTCCCACCCTCGCGCAGCTTGGTCTGTCCACCTGAGGGAACACCTGGCAAGCACCCACTGTGTGCCGGGTGCCCACCGGGGGCAGCACAGCCTGGCCTCCATTTCCCACCCCATCATCCACAGGCAGGGCCACCGCGCCCAACGTCCACCC